GAAAGAGATTTGCGGGAATCTTTGACCACACGATGAGCGGGTAGATCATCTCGACCCGCCTGCGTATTAAGAAACATATAACGAACTCATTAATCATCTCCCGAACGAGAAACCAGAAACAATCTTTGTTGCGCGGAAGGAGGTTGCTGTCGTGGACGGGTGGTACGGGTCACTATCCATTTGTTACGCATCGTTTACAGACAAAAGATCAACCGATCAGTGGCGCTAATAATCGACGAGGAACCGGAGAATACGATCTCCGTCTTCGATTCCATTACAACAGGCGTTTGATGAAAATACACATAGGGCAGGAACGCTTGGATCGAGACTTCGCCCTGTGGAACGAGGTTCGACGCGACTTTCGATTTTATTCCCGATCCAAGCTGTCGCACGATCAAAGGAATCGTCATTCGCGAAGCGGCCGCAGGTGGGAACGGGAATTGTACCTGACGCGGTGAGCAGGTGTCAGCCCTAGAGATCTATAAATTTGTTTGCTTCTCAACTCGAACGAGACACACGAAATGTATCGAAGGGGTGTCTTGGCGCGGCGCGGTGCGGTGCGGCGATTTTACTCGCACAGAAACCCTCGTCACAATACGACCTGTTGCGTCGACATCGGTAAGAGGAGCAAAGAAAGGCGACCGTAGATTCGGATAGAATTAACGTTTCTTCTTGGATCTTGGAGCGCCTTTCCTCTGCCGTGAGAATTGCCGCGGGTCAAAGCGTGCCGCCGCCATTGTGACAAGACTTCATTACGCAATCTGAGTTTTGTGTACGCGGGTGAGAATATTGTGCGCCCTATAGCGCAAATTCCCTTAACGTCAAAGGTTCTGTCATCGGTTGGTCATTTAACGATGGGAATTGGCGATTCGTAGATTGCTCCAAGAATAATGCTATTTTTCTTATGCTGAAAGAATTTCTAGAAATATAGTAAGTATCAACAATAAATAGATTTATTAAAATTGTTTAAATCATGAGATTGTTCTTTTTATTACGTTTATATTTTATTATATATAATATTTTATTTATATTATATCATTTTTAACAAAATTCAAAAAAATTTTGATAAAAGTTTATACAACACACTTGCGTATATTTTTTTAATAACCACATTCTCAATATCATTCTTTTATCCTCATGTCGTACTCTTTGTTCTTTTTACGTCGGTGGAACTAGTGCTGCAATCTTACGACAATTCATAGCATCATATACTTACAGCTTTTCAAAAGTCGATAATATCATCATCGTATTTCAACGAATCTTGTTTTTTTTATTATTCATAAAATTATAATTGATGTTTTTTTTTATGTTGTCTGCGATGAGGTGATAATTCAAGGATAATGAGCTAATGATAAACTATCTAAACTATATGTAAACTGCATACATCAAGTATATAACACTGTACTTACACAAAGAATCAAAATAATATATATTTATTGATCTATACAAATAGAATGCATATTCTTATGCGACGAAAGAAGAAAGATGTGAAGACAGACTGTTCTATCAATTGCTACCTATATTAATCGTTACTACACTCTGGTGAAAAAACTTATACATATCTCGTATATAATACCTAAAACAATTTTTATATTTTAAATTTCTGAAGATTTCTAAAAAGTATCAGTCTCTACAGATTTTGGAAGTTTTCTTCGGAAATTGTAGAATGAGAAATCTTAAAATATTTCAGAATTCATTTTCAGGCTTTTAAAAGAATTAAGATAAAAGTTATTGTATATAACAACATCGTCTTGCAGAACGTAGTTTGAAAATTGTATCTCTGAGTCTGAGAACTCATTCCTACGCTTTATATTTTCACGAATATCTAAAGAGGTAAAAATTTTTCACGATTTTTACAGCAGTTTTTACATTGATACAGTTGAATTGAACAAATTTTGTTTCTTTATATGTTTTGATTTAATCCTTGGTACGAATAATATTAATTAAAAAAATATTAACTTGTTTTTCAACAGTAGATTTCAGTAGCCATTCATTTAAGATAATTGCACTAACTAACAGCATGGCGTATTGAAAAAAGAATTATTGTGCGATGCTTACGAACAATTACGCAATTTTAAACAGTTTCTTTAGATTATCTTTTATAGATTGCACGCTAAGCGTGAAGAATTTAATTATACATTATATAAAATAATGCTTCTCTGTTTGAAACATCGGCCTATTAGGATAAAATAAAAACATAGAGAAGAAAAGAAACGTGTACGATTAATAATAAGATGACGCGATCTCATATTATCGAATTATATATAGTATATTTTCTAATCATAATAATACTGTTCCATTAATAACTGTTACATTAATTACAATGCGGTAATGAACTAAACGCGTTACTGATGATTATCAATCAGAGATTAATTACATAAAAACCAAAGAGCCCAGATTCGTCAAGCGCATACCTTCGCATCGACATTCAAATAGAAAAGGATAATAAACGCAACGTAGATTATGCCGGTGTACATTATGTATAAACACATTCGCTCAATCCAGTAGAATAATCCGCGTAATATTGTAGCTAACTACATACAGGAAATTGTCTATGTTACATATGTACTCAAGCACCGGAAATATTATAATTATACATTCGATAAAATTCAGAATTTACAGGGATTTGCTCGAAGAAGTATCGATTTACTGCGTTTATTTAATATTTGTGCTTACACTTGTTGTCACGATAATTTTCAACATGGTTGTTGTGAAAAATATGTACGTCTTTGCGTGATCAATCATATATTTTCGGTGCTTCGTACCACATAATGCGTTCGCGTATATATTGTCTTGATATTAAACATATAGAAATAATTAAGAGCAAGAGTCATCTCCTCTATCCGAAGGTTTGTTTTCTGAAAAAATACTGCGCTCTGTAAATATGGAACTCTATAGGAAGGATTTGCCTTTTAATTGCTTTTAATTCGACAATTCATACGGCGACATCCGTGACGGGCGCATTCAAGCGTCAAAGCTTATATAAAGAGTATGTTAACGTCATTTATTTTTCCGCTTCTTTGATTCCTACGCAGTGTAAAATTTGTTACTTGTCTCCAAATACTAGCGTATTGCACGTAATTCACGTTTTGTTACGTGTTTGGATGATCGTGGGAAGGAATGTATACGAAATCGTTGTTCGTGGTTGGATGGTCATGGGGATGAAGATGTATATCGTGAGATATAGGCTGCTTTCCTTTTAAAAGACACAATTGACATGAATATCGTTCTATTTTTATTATTCTTTAAATGTCAAGAAGGGTAGAAAAACGTTTGTGTCGACTGATCTCCTAAAGGGAATGCAGCTACAAATAGTTTCAGTTTATGATAATACGGATGACTCACTAGTCGTAAGAAACGAAAAGACGCGATGAACGAAGCATTGATGTAGGAGGGATAAAATGTCTATATGAAGGTAAATGCACAGTAAAAGTGAAGAGATAGTACGAAAACATTTAGCTTAAGTTTTTTTGTACACTGAGATGTAATTGACTAGCTCTACGAATGGAAAACATTGATTTTTGGGTATTCGAGGCCTGAGACTAGATATCAGGAGACCTTTTGCTTAAAAAGCAACCCCTCCTTTGAACAACCCTTTGTGCATCTACCAAACTTTCGTAATTAACAGCGATTGCACATTCTAAAGTTCCTGCAGATATAACACATTCTTCCTTTACATCATTTAGAAGATATTTGTAATAAACTTTTATTTTTAACGAATTGAATCAATTTTCTCGACTTAATAAATAATCCTAGTTATTTGCACTTACCCGGTAATATCGCTAAAAATAATTTCTTCGTCATATTGCATTTCACGATGAACAATTAATAATTAATAAATAATTAATAAATAATATATTACGGAACATTAGAGACATTATTTTGAATATGTCACTAAGAATCAATGATACAAGCATCTCTCAATATCTAGCCCGTTGAGAAGCCACGTCGACCTTAACTACTTATGGATGGATTACATGTGTTGGGCCTTTACGGGCATAAAAATTCTACACGAACAAGAGAACTCCCTTCATCCATCGTCTGCTCTACTTACAATACGCTTACTAAAAACTAACTTACTACGATAATAGATACAATCACTGTGTAGCGTTTCAGCGCGAGACTACTGAAGTCAGCGGTAGCGACTATAGTCTCTTAGAACACAAGCCTTCTTTTATACTTTTACACTGCCTCCCAAATTATTGCACTTTGTAAGGTGCTTTAAAAAAAATTTTGCTTTGCTACGTTACTTTATCTTAATATAAAGTAAACAATAATACTTACCCAAGTAGCAAAATGACATTTTAATAACGTCATATTGGTGTTAAAGATGTCAGTGAGATGTTATTAAAACATTTTTTTTACGTCACCTTGCTACTTGAGTATTTTATACAATTGTGGATTTCAAACTTTTGTTTTTATTGTATTTTAAAATCATCAAATTGTATTGAAATATTTGAAATGTTTTAGCGAGCGAATATTTGGGAGCGAACAGTTTGAGTAAAGTATTGGTTTGGCATCTTTGAAACATTATCTTTCCAAATAAATTGGCAGATAGAAATTATCGCTAATTTTTCGGGAACACACGTATATGTAACATTTTATTTTTGAGATCATAATTCTCACATGTTTTCTTTGGTTTTGTTCCAGTCATTAAGAATAGTAAATTTGGTTTGCTAAAGAATTACAATCTACTGATTTGCTTCACAAATATAAGTTAACATTTTTTTTATAAAAATCTATCTACTGCAGAATAGAAGAATCGGTTAGTAATAATACAGTAGAGCAATCACGAGTCGATTGTAATCTTCGAATACCCTGACATAAGGGTGTTTCATAATTTGCGTCCATTAATTACAATAAGTGCTATTCTTTAATGAAAAACGAGTCAAAAAGCCCTGAATTGTTTTTCCCTTAACGAGGGAAATATCATTAAATAATGTCTGCCTTAATCCATGTCCTTATTTCTAAAGAATAGCGCTATGTAATTATTGAATGCGAATTATGGGATATCGTGTATATACGTATATCTTCCATCCTACAATATTTTAAGCTTACGCATCTGATATTAACTCTATTCCATATTTTACGCACATTGAATTTTCACATTCGATGGCAGTTAAGCGCAGATCAGGCCAGTCGATTTTGCAGATGTTTACTTGCAAATAACTCGAAGTTTTGGCGGTCAGGGAGCTTAGTATCTTATCCTTATGAATAAATTACGTATTGTAAAGTGAAAGACGGATGCGTTAATAAATATAGGACTGCGACACGACATTTTATCAATCGTGTTTTTATCAATAATTATTGAAGATCAATGCAATCTCGATCGCCGACTTGATCTGCGCTTCTATTTGAACATTCATCTTTTTACAAACTCACACTGAGAACGCTCGAATCAGGCGGTTCAATATGAACTCATGATTCGTAAATATTATGTTTTGCGGCTTTACTTTAAATACACACGTTTGACATACAATAGGAATAGTAATTTGACGTTTATTTCCAAGTTAAATGTAAATGAATGTTAATCTTTTACTTAAAAAGGAAAAATCTAGATTTTTTTACATTTTTTATAAATCATAAATAAATATCAATAAATTAATAATTTATAAATTAAAGATGGAGAAATATAAAATGCATAAAAAGAACAATACGATGAAATAATTTCCTATAAATTTAATGATAATTTTATAGATACGTATTTAATTGTTATCTATTTATTCATCTATCTATCGGCACATTAAATTAAAAGTGTGAAGATCTTTATATCTCTCATCTAATCGATTATATTATTACAGATTACTTTCTGCACGATAAAATTTAACATAAATATTTGAAAATTTCTCTAAATAATATACATATATATTGCGCATTGATATATTGATGGCATTTGCCAGAAACAATGGCTATGCTTTGGCATGTCATACATTATTTTTCTTTCAATTTCTATTTCGGCATTGATAATACAGCATAGAAAATATAATGCAAATAGTAATTAACAAACTTTAACGAACGAAAAAAGTCAACAATTACAACCAATTCTATACAAAAGACATATTTGCTTTGTAACGAAGAACGCATATATAAAATTAACTTGTTTAACTTTAATACTAATAATCAAATAAATAAAGATAAACTTCGAAAAAATCAATCTGTTTAAGCATGAATTTTATCATCAAGGAATATTTGTAAAACACCACAGCAACTTGGAAAAATTGGACTCCACGGACGCTTTCTTTAATCATCAGTCTCTCGTACTTCTCTTATCACTAACAGTGCGCGGATGACTCAGCTAAAGTGGACCATCGATCATCCTTAGAAGATATGCGGCGCGAGCTGTAGCTTCCAAAGAGAGACCGGTCTGGCGAACACCGTGACTTGACCCTTTTCTTTGCCGCCGACCAAAAAAACATACAAAGGTGCTGGTCCGTACGAAGATGTTTTAGCGTCGGTCGCATCCACTGCCGCTACC